CCTCCTGTGGTCCCCAGCATCCAGCATGGGCCCTCCAGGTGCTGCTGAGCCCAGGCTTGGCTTACACTGATGCCACCCACCACCCACCCTAGGGTGCTGGAGCCCCCCGGGGCTCAGAGCCGAGCAGGTCCAGGCTCCCTGGTGCCGTGGGACCCTACCTTGCATGATGTCTTTCATCACCGATTGTAGCACGACCTCCTCGTAAGTGTTCTCCACCAGGATGAAGCTGGCAAAGTCCTCAAAGATCAGCTCCTGAAACTTGGCCAACTCCTGCCATGGGAAGAGGTTGCTCAGCCCCGTGGGGACAGGAGGGTGGGTGGGTTGTCTTCCCTCCCCCCGCAAACTTTAGCCTCTTACCCCTTTGCAGGTGGGCGCCAGCTTTTTCAGCAGAAAGGGGATGGTGATCTGCAGCAGGGCCTCCCTGAAGAACTTCTTCCGCACGGTGCTGCTGTCGTAGTCGTATTTCTGCAGGGTGAGCGAGGACAGCCCCGGCTCAGTGAGGGCTGTGGGCTGGCAGCACCCCTGCCCGTGGGCACAAGCCCCTGTGGTTTGGCCCCCCCCAACCCATTTGCAGGAGCGTGAGCAGGTTCCTCTGCCTCTCGCATCCTTCTCTCAGCCTGTTCCCGGGGTGCCTCAGCCTTGGTAGGAGCCAGCTCCTCCATCGCTGTCTGCAGAAGGGTTTTTGGGCCAGTCTGAACCCTGGGTGGCTTTTACAGTGACGCTTGTGGTCAGAGAGAACCTGGCTCCTCCAGACGACTTCCCACTCGCCTGTCCCACGTCCCAGCAAAATGCATGAAAATCGCAATATAAAGAAGTATTTCCCCAGAAGACTTTTGTTAAAATTGGCAAGGTCACTCCTGGCCTCTTCTCCAGGCTGCTGGCCCTTGGAACAAGGCCACTGAAGGCCCCCGACCCACCACCCCTCACCTTGAGTACCCTCTCGAGGATGCGCTGGATGGACTTGCACAAGTCGTCTTTGCCCTGCAGCTTCCCCAGCTCCTGATGGAGCAGCGTCTCGAACGTGTACACCGCGTCGTCCATTTGCTGTGAGTGGAGGCAGATGGTCAGCACCGGGTCGGGGGGCACCCAAAGGGACCAACCATGGGGGTGGGCAGGGGGCTCTTCTGGGGCACTGCCACACCGAGATGACCAGGGTAAGGTCCCTGGATCCCAGCGTGGCATCCACAGACTCCACCCTGAGGACCAAGGGTGCTGGGGGAGGAGGGTGCCCAAAGCTGGTTTGCACCCCCCAACACCTTCTATACCCTACTCCAGGTTTGGCCGGATCAGACCCCAAAATTGGGCTACTGGCCTTGCTGGTGCCAGTGGGCTCGGTGGCAAAGGGGCAGCTGTGTAGTGACGCCCAAGCCTGGGTGCTGAGTCCATGTTGGAAGGGTGCTCCACGCTGCTTCCCACCCGTGGGCTCCCTCCCTGCTTGGGCTCCAGACCAAAGGGGATGGCCAGATCCATCACACACCCTTAGCTGGGTGCCAAGGACATGAAGGTCCCTGAGATAAGACAGACATCCCGGCCAAATCCCTGCCTGGGTTGGACCAGCCTGGCTTCCCCGCTCTGCCTCCGCTCCCCAGCCCTCTGCGCTCAGCCCGAGGGGGACACAGGAGGACCCCGGTCACCATGCCACCTGTCTCATGTGGATCTGGGCCCTCTGCTTGAAGACGGACGTGCTGGAGACATCGAATCGCTGCTGAAGGCCTTCCAGTTTCAGCTGGTCCATCTTCTCATAGCACGACTGCATCTTGACGGGGTGGAAGGCCAGGTGGGAAAGCTTCTCCATGTACTGAAGCTCAGCAGGGCAGGCCAGCCTCTCTGCACACTCGGGGCTGGGACATGCCACCCCACCCCAGGCACGGCAGCCTGCACCACCACACGGGCTTCACCCCCATGTATTTTCTCAGCCCAAGGTGCCCCAGTGCCATCTGTACCAGGGACAGCAGCAAGGCTGGTCCTACCACCCCCAAGCCCGCTGGCCAGCAAGGAGCATCGCCAGGTCTCACCTCCACCAGCTTCTCCAGGCCACCCTCGTTGACGATGTTCATGTTCATGTCCGTCACCTCCTTGAAAAACACCTCCCGCACCTCAGCAAAGCCCTGGCTTGTGGGGGTCATCAGGGCCTCCAGGATGGAGGAGATGTAGGGCTGGACATGATTACGGACGCAGACCTCTGCTTTGGGGAGGACGAACGCTGGGCAGAGAGCGATGGTAAGCATGGTGAGGCTCCTCCTCTGCCCTTCCAGCTCTGCAAATCAGGCTGTAAACCCACCCTAGGGAGGGGGACCTGCCCCTCTCCCCAGACCCCTCAGGAGAGGTCTCCCAGCCTTGCAAGACAAAGCAAGGGGTTCTTTCAAGGGGCCCTCGGTCCTCCCCCACTGCCTTGATGGGGGGTCACCACCCACCTTCTCCCCCACCTCCCAGGACAAGGCCACTGAGGACATGCACACTGGCCACTG